TTTATTGTCGGTGCATTTAAATTTCCTTTGTGCATGCTCCTTTTGGCTTTTAAATTCTATCACGAACCATCGTCGCCTTAACGCAAAACTCGAGTGCCTCTCTGCAATCTAAAAGTTGACTTATTTCGGGATTCCTTCGAGGCGTTTTGTAATGTAGCGGAAGGAATTGATGGTCTATAAAACCCTTGTAGCCTAGTCAACGTATAAAACAAAACGTGCGGCATAAAAAAAGTAATTTCTTTCGTTGTTGGAATTAGGACACGGTCTCTTGTAATGTATGAAAAGGGACATTAAATTATTTATTATCACTATGAGTATACAGGGTGAATGTAATGTTGCTTCATTAGTAAAAACACTCATACTGTATACCTACAGCTAAACACATTTTGCTTAATCTAGTTAACAGGAATATGTCTTGCAATAATGAGCAGTCGTACCAAAGTTGACCTAGGTTTTTCCGTTGTAATTTTATTATTTACTTAACTGTCACGTTTGAAACATAATATACAAAACAATTATTCGGCTTTAGTACGCGGAAATGCATTTTAAAATGCATTTTTTGCAACATTCAACGTTATATTTCTCTATTATCTAACATACAATAATTGAAGCGATAATTTCGTGGCTAATGATTATTCGAAAGATACCGAATTAATCGCCATTATGCCACAATGTGAAGCCTGTTGGTTATAGGGGTTCTAAATTTAAAATAGAAACGAGGGTTGGGATGTGTCATGGGAAAGTCTGGCGTCTGTTCTCATGGATATCGATTCGATGATTCATGCATTATCCGTAATTTTGTGCCAACTCCCACTCGTTTTCGTGATTACATATTTCAGGTGTATAATAGGTAATAGGATGCAGTTCTTGTCCAAATAGAATCGTTTAATTTTTGGTGGTTAAAAATAGACGCAAAAATTCGCGTAATTTACTAAATATTTAAACCGTCAGCTGGGTGTTATGTTACCAATATCAATATTTACGTTAAAATCAAATTTTTGATTTATTTATTTATAATTTCAACCATTAGACCACGATATAATATTCGCTTCATGATATACGTAACCAGTGACAAATAAATCTGGTGAAATGGTGGCGATTTCGCAAATTATTAATATTCCCAAATAACAATGACATATTACCTAATTAATATTTTTGTCAATTTTTTTCGACATTTAAACAATAATACAGTTCGATCGTATTTTTTTACGACAATGCGCACGTATTTCATTTCAAATCGAGAATTATACAGTTTTATTGTTTTGATATTTGATTCATTTTTTGTTGTTCGTACAGATAACGTACATAATGTGAAAAATGCGCCAAATATGACGCAAAAGTTTGGTGTGGTGGGTTACTTGAATGGAGAATATATGGATTCATGCTACATAAATTGTTAAATTTTACGTAATTGGCTTATTATCTTTATAGCTTTAACATTGACCGGGCTAAAAAATTGAAATAATTGAAAATGATGTATAACCACTTACCTAATTGTAAAGATAATACAACAGTACGGTATTGTGAAAGGGAAAAGTTAGATAATGCTTTTTAAAAATTAAAAGTGCATAAAGTCAATACAATGCAATATTTCCATTCCTTTTATGAGATCCTGCAATACTTGTAGGAGTGCTGCTATAACTTTATCAATCCTGGATAGCCTTGTGCTATCCTTGAATATTTCGACATTGACCTTGTTAGTTAAAAAAACACAGGGTTTATTTTTATTTTCGTTTATATGTCAATTATGCATAATTTAATAATAACCGAACAAGGTATTTACGCTACTATTGATAACATTTCCGGTCTCGAATGAGTTATTCAATTCAATATCGTCCTAATACCTTCGACTCGCGCCTTTGACGCGGGGATATACCCACCATGCATATTTTATGCGAATTAAAATTACAACAGTTAAAACACTCACGTAAACGGTAATGTAAAAAATATACGTAATCGACCTGTTATCATATCAGTCGAAGCCGTAATCAGTCAGTGTTAGTTTGTTTGAGTGATTCATTCGCTTCTATGCACAGTACTTGTTGCTTTATTTTTTGAAAATGGCTTTCCATCAACAGCGGTTTACGATAAGACATTGAACGTTTTTTTGTGGACAAAAAATGTGATTAATGCATAGTTAATTGTTGACTTTCGAACAATTGAAACGTTTTAATCGGCTTGAAGAAAATACTGGATTATCACGAAGATATTGATTGTTTTTTAAATAAGTTTGTTGTAATGCGATTAACAGACGCTAATTTCATTTGCTATTGCGAGAAGAACTTGGTAACATTCGACTGTATCGCTTGTGATAATACTGTGAGTATTTTTGGTTACAATAATGTTAGAGGCAAGGATTTGTTGTTTACCGGGCTTTATATGTTTCTGTGATGAAATTGTGAGTATAATACGGCTTAATCGCTCTTTAACTAATTAATTATTTCGCTTTTCAAATTGTGCGTTTGCTTAACTACTTGGAACTTTGCTTAATTGCACGCTACATTTCATCCTAATTAAGGAATTATGCATTTATGCTTTTAAAGGTACACAAATGCCACAAATGGTAGCAATAGAGATGCATCAAATAACTCGAAAAATATTTGAATTTAAACGTGCAGGTATTTGTATAATATAAAAAAAATATGTTACCTACCTAAACTAACACATAATATAGCTACTCATTTTGAATATCTGCTCTCAAATAGCAAACTCTACTTACACGACACTCTGCTCCCTCTCAAGGGATCAATAACAGACTGTTATCTTGCATCTGGGGATACCTCATTATTTACCTATGCTTTAACTGAAATCTTTCAATTCTTGAAGCGGTACATTAAATTTTTGACACTTGTAATTACTAAACCTCATTTTAGGAAAATGTTATTCCTGCTGGTACTTATTTATAATCAATTAAAAATTAATTTTTGTAAAATTTATTTACCAACTTCTCCAATCGTAAACTGCGCGCTCTCGTTCTCGATAATTTCCTACATATATATAGATGTAAAACCCTTGACAGGGGATATAGACTGATTGGCGAGAGAAATTAAAAAAAAGTTTCTGGGGCATTGGGAGGTAGATGGGGAGACGTTAAAAAATTCGCCGATTACGAAAATATACCTCTTTTCTCCAGCTAAATTCGTTTTTTCCCATAATTCGATTTTGAAAGTGAATAAAAGTGAAAATTTTGACACATTTCCAAATAAATTACTTGATGGACGTTGCCCGTTCGTTTGGTTTAAACGGAACTACACCGAAATGAGAGACTTTTTCGTTATTTAGACAATTTCGTCGTTTTTAATGGACGAGAATAAAAGAAAATGCAATAATACACAAAAATGTACGTTTCTTGGTCATTTGTACTTACCAAAAACGGAGAAACGATCGAATTACTTTTAAAAAAACTACACTTATGACAGCGGCGATGAACAAATTTCAAACTGTCAAAGTTGTCATTTCCGTTACTACGGGATACATTTACATTTAATTTGATGTACAGGGTGTTTTTTCATTAAGGAAATCGGAAAAATTGATATACGGAGCGTTTTTAACATTAAATGAAAAATTATTTTCAATAGAATTGAAATATAGTACAGGGTGACTCGTATTTAAGGAAATGTTAATTATACATAAACCGAGCGAGCGAAGCGAGCGAGGATCCGGCTATATAACTGCCTTTGCGTAGAACGCCGATAGGCGTTCGAGCTGCGGGTCTATGCGGCAGAGCCCATCATTAACTAGAGCGATTTAGTCGAGCTCGCGCAGCGAGCGAGACCTTAGTTATTTAACAGCCTTTGCGTAGGAGGCCGCCAGGCCTCCGAGCTGCGGGTCTATTCGGCAGAGCCCATCGTTAACTAGAGCGATTTAGTCGAGCTCGCGCAGCGAGCGAGACCTTAGTTATTTAACAGCCTTTGCGTAGGAGGCCGTTAGGCCTCCGAGCTGCGGGTCTATTCGGCAGAGCCCATCGTTAACCAGAGCGATTTAGTCGAGCTCGCTAGGAAACTGTCTTGCGGCGAAGCCGCCACCGTAAGAAAGGGGGGTTGAAAGGGGGCACAGCCCCCTTTCCGAGCTGATAAGCGAGTATTTTTAATAAAGACATAATAAAATCCGTCAAAACCATTCGCCGTTATTCGGTGCATCTGTTCCCGGCAGGGAACCAAAATTGATGGCACTTATTATAATATCAAACAGATTACAGATATACTGGTAACGTGCATAGCATAGCACGTACAGTTTATCTTCTAGTCTGTTAGGGTAACTATTCAAATTACGTAACGTAACAAAGGGAAATTTCGTTGACCTATTATAACTAATTCTTCGTTAGAGGTTAGTTGTTTATCTCGTTTCTACACGCATTCACACGCGACGTCTTTATAGCCTTTTACAGTAGCGTGCTTTTATAGGTTTATTAACCATCAAGTAATCATTCAGATGCGCTTCAATTGAGTTTAATGTAGAATACTTTGATAGAATTATTGGGTCATAGCCGATTAAATGAAAGTTATAATTGTTCAATCACTGTCTGAAAGTATAATACTTTGACGGAGATTTAATTAACAATCAAAAGTTTTATGAAACTGAGCGCTAGTTTAAGAGAGTAAGTTACAACTTTGTGAATTCCTGGATGTGATTGTGTTTCTGTACTACAAAGATTGATTGTGTTTATTTAAAATATATCTTTTTGTGTATTTTACCCCGTCTATGTTTCGAATGAAATAGAATTAGTTCTGTTAACCGGGTGTTGAATATATTTAGAAGTTAGGGTGAAAAACCCTGTTAGGGTAATGATGTTATCGCAAACTAGCAAAAAGGATTTAATCAGAAACTGGTAGAAACTAAACGGTTCATTAGAAACAGTGATTAACAACCATTTATACTACCATAAATATTATGTTACATACACATTTTAAATCTCTCGTAATCCGAAAACTCCGTATGATTTTTCATACAACTTCCATTAATTTTTTGTCCCTTGTCTGTAATGCTCTCGTTTTTTTCAGCAGCCCACATGGCGATTGTGGGGCGAGGAGAAGGCAGATGGCGCCCTTTACACAGTTTACCTCAAAAAAGTTCGTTACCACCGACCAACTAGGAGTTTGTCGTCGTCGCATTCGGTAAGTAAACTAAAACTTTTTGTAATTTTTTATCACTTTCAAACAACCATGGCGTACACAAAATGCTAAAACGTTTACGAAATAATTTCAAGGTAGGTACTTACACTCTGACTTGAATAGCTGGAGAAATAAGAGTACAGTGCGCAACATCTAATTTAATTTTTATTCACTTAGCTAGTGTACGCATATAACTTTATTTGATTCCATTGAAAACGCACGAAGGACATTAGTTTTTTTATTTGTTTGAACCCAAGCAGTCGCCACGGTTAATATTTTGTTTTGCGTTAATTAAAAGTACATTATGTAATTTCGATTTCAGCTCTGTTAAGAGTAATTGCTCGTTAACCGAGTTTCCTGTTTGTGCAAAAGCTGCGAAATTACGCCGATGAGGTAACGTTTAACTGTATCCCATCTGCCATTGAAAGAGGAAATAATGAAAAAAATAAGAGCAGAAGCATGACCGATTCGGCCGGCAAATCAGACCGGATTATTTTAGAACTCGCATATGAAGTTGTGGCGAGAGGAATCGGACTATAAAAAAACGTTCAATGTCATTGTCGGGATATTAATAATGACCTCTGTACGAGACTGCTTTTGTTATGATGTGTTTTTTGTAGTAGGAGAAATGTTGTTATTAAATGAGTATTTGATGGGTATTTTGATGACAATAAAATAAAAAAGAAATCTCTATTATTTTCCTGTATATTTTTATTTCTTACAATCTTTTTGTGTTTTTTTTGGTCAGGTCTTTACATTTTTCCATTTCTCTCTTGTTTACTTTAGGGATCTTCTTCATTTCCGTTTTTTTTTCGTAATCTGACAGAAGTGAAATATGAATTTCCCCAAAAGGCCACGCGTGTTTCTCCAAGAAAACTTTAATCAGATTTATGATAGCGAGCGCGAACAATAAACCTTTATCAGTACAAGCTGGGGCGAAGGAATGAGATACGGCCGGATTATTTCCAATGTATCGATTGATTTCCTGTACCCTATTTTATAGCCTTAAAGCATTTCATAATCAAAGCAAAGCAATACTAATTTACTAACTTATGTTAAATTTATCTAGTATATCTATTTATCTACTATGTACCTTCTGACAAAAAAGCTCTACCAAAACGGGCCTATTAAAATGGTTCAATGATTGTAAAAGAAGCATAAAAGTAGCATATTCTGAAGAATACTCAAGAAATACTAATATTAGAAATTTTGCGTTCTATTCCAAATTTCCCGTTACTTTTTTGTCACAGTAGTATATCCTAGATAGATCACCTGGTATTCATTTACGTGTTATTAATTTAGTTGGGTTTATAAGCAGCTTTTTGTATATGGTATTTTTTTGTAGGATTCTGATGATGAAATTTCCCACCTAGAATGGGAAACGGTACGAGTGCGTTTCGTGAAAGCGGGCACATTAAAAAGGCTCGTCGAAGCCCTTTCCACCGACGACGGGGAACTCGAAACCACCTACATCAACGTTTTCTTGGCCACATACAGAAGTTTTTCGACGCCGAAAGAAGTCCTCAAATTATTGCTGCAACGTTACACGGATTTGTCGGAAACGCAGTCTAATGGAAAACCTGATCCTCACGAACAACATCGCAAGTAAGTAAATACCTCCGTCGCGGATTTAGGTGTATTATTTTTCGCTTATCTGGAATTATTTAGGAGCATTTTGTAAGCGTTTCCTTCGAGTGATGTGAATAAGTTCGTAGTCATCGTTTTGATAAAAATATCGAAATATTTTATTACATAAAAATGCTGTACATTCGTGTTTTTTTTATATTATGAATAATGTCGAATGTATGGAAAATTTTATTAAAAAAAACAGTTAGTTGATGAGAATTTTGCGACAAACTATTTTATTTGATTATAAGGGGAATTATTACAACGCAAAATTATAAGTTTCATAAATATTTGAATACTGAGTAATTAGAACGAATAGCTCGAAATGAAATTTTAATGTTGTTGCATGTCCTTTTCAGAACTCTTATATCTGCACTACACGTATGGCTCGACAGTTATCCTGAAGACTTCAAAGAACCTCCAAACCACTCTGCCCTTCGACAGCTATTGCATTTCTGCGAGGAATATTTACCCTCCACTGAACTCGATGCCAAAGTACGACATAGAATAGAAAGGTAAGGATCACGACACGATTATTTAGAAATCGTACATGAAATCAGAATGTTCAATCTTGTAGATTGAAAATTTAGATCAATTATATAAAGTATTTCATTATTTTTTTTTTGTCAAGGTATACTAGAGAATCCCAAATAGACCCTCTTCTAGCGCCTCCTCCCGCCTTTGCCATGAGATCGGGCCAACCAGGATGGAGAGTCTACAAATTACCAGAAGTACCTGTACGCCATTTTGCCGAGCAACTAACTAGGATGGACGTGGTAAATGTTCAAACTACCGAACGATTTTTCAACTATTCATTTCTCGTACTTTTTTTCACAGGATTTGTTCAAAAAACTAGTACCTCACCAGTGCCTGGGCGCGGTGTGGTCGCGCAGGGACAAGAGCCGATCGCACGAAGCCGCCACCGTACTGGCCACCGTCAATCAATTCAACGCCGTCTCCTTCAGAGTGATCTCCTCCATCCTGGTGGACCCGGGCCTCAGGTTCAACGACAGAGCCGCCATCATTTCCACCTGGATCGACATAGCGCAGGAGTTGCGGCTCATCAAGAACTTCTCCAGCTTGAAATCCATCATCAGCGGCCTGCAGAGCAACCCCATCTACAGGTAAACTAACGTTGTGCTACCCGAAGCTTCTTTTCTATAGAATAATCTCGTAGGCTTCAGAAAACGTGGCAATCGATTCCGAAAGAGAAAATCGAGATGTTCGACGAATTGGCGAGGATATTCAGCGAGGACAACAACCAGATGACCCAACGGGAGCTGCTGATGCGCGAGGGTACGGCCAAGTTCGCGGACACCTTCGGCGAGAACGACAAGCACCTGCAGAAGGTCTTCCAGAAGCAGAACCACCACGTGGCGAACATCTCGTTCGGCACGATCCCCTATTTGGGAACGTTCCTGACCGACCTCACCATGATAGACACCGCCATACCGGACACCATCGCCGAAGGATTGATCAACTTCGACAAGAGGAGGAAGGAGTTCGAAGTGCTGGCCCAAATCAAGTTGCTACAAGGTTAGTGCGACATCTATCGAAGGTTGTTTTAGATATCTAAAGTATATGGTTTGTTCAGGCGCCGCCAACGCTTATCATTTCACCGAAGACTCCGCGTTCGATCGCTGGTTCGATACGATACTGGTGCTGGACGATCGCGAGGCCTACCAGCTGAGCTGCCAGATCGAGCCGTCGAGCAACGCGAACAATTCGAAGACGAAGCGTCGGTCGTCGGGCCACCAGAAGAACGATTCGATAGCGAGCACGTCGAGCAGCAACAGCTCGCAGTTCTACTGCGACATCGACAGCACGCCGAGCTCGCCGCACAACAGCCTCGACAGGAAGCTCAGCCCGTCGCAGATGTCGAATTCCAGCAGCAATTCGTCGTTGCCTTCGTTGGACGTGTCGTTGAACAGCTCGCATTCGGGCAGCGCGAACAACAAACTTCAGGTAAATTAATTATAATTGAATTATTATTGTAATGAGGTGTGTGTACCTCGTCACATGTAGCTTGGCAGTTGGAATAATTAAGAAATTTGGTACGTTGTTGGTGTCTAGTTGCAAAGTTGCCGTTGAATAATAAGAAATAAGAATTTTCTGTGTAGTTATCTTTTCCACATGTTAGAAATGACTCAATTTGAGCTCTAAATAATTCAGATTCAGAAGTTTTCTCCTAATTTTCAGTTTGTTCTCGTCATTTTGCTTGTCATTTGATAATTTTAAAAAATTCTTGGATTTTGTAAACTCTTTAAAAGTTCGGCAACACTGCCTACTTGTGACGTGTAAATCATAGGTGACGTGAATTGATATTTGTTTTGCACCAACTGTACTTATATTGTTTTTCATTGTCGGTGTTATTCAAGTTTAAAATTATTTTTTTAATTGAATTAATTTTTCCTATTTAGAACATTTATCGCTAAAGATTCAAAATTAAGCAATATTTAATAATTCATTAATTATTTATTAAATTAAGTCATTGTGATACCAAAAATGTATATTTAAAATTGTGTTTCATTATATTAAATTACATACCCAGGAAAATTGAAGGCAATAACTTTGTAAAAATTTGTAACTTCCACCAATTCTCACAATCAGATGACGAGAGACTTTCTTTAACTTCCTCCATCTTTCTTCTACATTTCCCCCATATGCCAAGCTACATTTGGTGAGGTACATCCCCTTGGCTGTCAAACTGTGTCTCTGTGAGGCCTTTTACTGTTCTAGTTTTGCGCTACAATATTTTCAAACTGCACATTTGCGTATGAAATCTAGTAGGCTATTAATTTATATTGATTGTTGGTTTATTTTCAGGTGCCTCATAACAATTCGGGTACATTAAGCACTCATTCTCAAAAAAGCCAGCCCGATTTCTACATAATCAAAGTAACATACGAAACCGATAGCGTGGAAACGGATGGTATAGTGTTGTACAAAAGCATCATGCTAAGCAATAACGAAAGAACGCCGCAGGTCATAAGGAATTCTATGTACAAATTGGGCTTGGAAGGGAATCCGGATCAGTATACTTTGGCTCAAGTTTTACCAGAAAAAGGTCGGTCTACATTTTTTATCTACTAAAAATTATTGCACTAAAGTTTATCCTTTATAAAAAGACAATGACTGCACAGCCAGACGGTTGCAACGTTGCCGAGTTGTCATCTAAATCCTTTATATTACATATATGTTTAATTTACTATTAAGTTTACTTTCAATATCTACAAATTAAAAAAGTTATAAATGGTAGGATTTAAACAAGAAAAAGTAACAAAACAAACAAACCTGTCAACTACAAAGACAGGAATTTCGAGAACAACGATATGGCAACAACGCATCGGCATTTCCCAATCGGCATTTCCTAAAATTCCCTTAGTCAAATGTTGAACTGCGTGGAAATTACTCAAAACTACGTAATTGTCTTTTTAGAACCGATAAGCTTGAAGTAATGAAATTGAGAAGTTTTTAAAATAATTCATCGTTTTTAGAAATGATTCTTCCTTCGAACTCTAACGTGTACTACGCTGTAAATACTCAATACAACCTGAATTTCATCTTGCGCCCGAAGAGGACCGAAGAGAAGGAAGTTCCGGCGAAAAATTCGAAGAGCAAATACAAGTTGTAAAGCGCATTTGTGGCGTTTTTGAATTTTTGTATAGTGTTATTTATTTATTTCGGGTGTCCGAATTGTTTTGTGGAATCTCACTCTCGAATTTGCGGCTGGTATGTAAACAAACGGACACCTTTGATTGTTTATTAGTTGGAATTTGTATATTTGTGAGCTGTTTATGACAAATAATCTAAGAAACAAATAACATCTGTGATAAAAAGCACAAAATACTCTATCGTCATCACAAATCGTGTGGTAAATAATTTAGTTTTATTTTTAATCGATTAATTTACTTGTGGTTGATTAACAAGTTGAAAAAAAAAAAACACGAAATTAAGTTTTATTAATGAAAGAAAAAATAATCATTTTGGTTCGAGTCGAAGCCTACTTATCGCTTTAACTGTCAAATAGGTGCTGCAATGATTGTTCAATTAAATGATTATTGTATAATTTCGAAGAGGATACGTTCAAAATAGTGCCATTTTGATAACACTACTAAATTGAACACCTCACAGGACGTATAAGAAAACGTATTAAAAAGATTGCAATTTGTAAAAGAACGCGAAATAGCTTTAAACGTCACGTTCAAAGTTGGATGATATTATACCGAAAGTGTTTTGATAGAAATTCGTTGTTTATTCCTAATTTTCCCAAGTGACCAATATTTTATAGTAGTGTTTTGTGGTAATCGTACGAAGAATTGTATAAACAATAACCCCTATTGGTACTTAACTCTATATACCCTTTGAAATATTGTAAGGAGATTTATTTTTATTGTATTTTTCTATTAAAAGACCTTGTATAAAAATTTCCTGCGTTTGATTTGAAAATCTATACATGGACACATCCATCCTGCAAAATTTGTTAGTATTGAAAATCGCCCTATTAGTATCAGTATTGAAGTATTCATCATCAGTATTCAGCATCAGTATTCAAAATCAGTATTTAGTATCAGTATTCAGTAGCAGTATTCAATATTTAGTAACATTATTCAGTATTTAGTAGCAGTATTCAGAAAATTTAATTGAAACCTAATAAAATCAGTAATTTAGAATAATGCCAACAGAGAAATACTACACTTTGCAATAAATTAATATAATTTACAATAAACCAACGAATCACACAGTTGATGTAGTTCTGAAATAATAGATAAGCGCAATTAAATTTAATTAACATAATTAAATATAGATTTCAAGTGGTTAATTGAAACAAACGGTTAGCAATGAATAAAATGATACTTGAATCATTGCCATGAACTGGATTAAAATACTATTAATTGAATACCAACAATAAATGTGGAGGCAGAATAAATAAAACCACAAAATACTAAATATAGTGGGCATTATGATTCGTACGGAACGGGAAATATTCTCGTAAAATTCCCCTGGTGTCGGGACAAAGACGAATGGGACTATCTATTTATTTTATTTTTAGCCATACGGGTCTCCTATTGATCATACTAAGGTCGTGAATATTTTACGAACACGCGTAGGTAGGTATCTATTTCAGAGGAAAGAAATTGAATAGCTAAAAATGCCGGCTTCACGACGGTATTTACCAAAGTCATTGCTTAATTATGCATGACTGAATTTGCTTTATTAAGCGAGAGAACCGTTTCATTTACCATCAAGAATTTCACTTCCGTGCAAATGGATTGTTTTCTATTAAATTACCGAAAACATAAGTTTTTATAAAATCGTTACAATGCTAAAAATTTGGTTATTTTTAATTTCATTAACTATTTATTTTAGAAAATGAAAAAGTATACAGGGTGTCCCACATAGGAACCGACATAGCAGGGACGTGTAGCCCATAATAAGTTGTTTAACCAACTAGCTTAATACAAAGTTACAATCTTGAAAAGTTGACCCTCAAAGTGGAGTTACAATTCAAAAAAATAATATCTCGGCAAATTATCTTCTAACTAATTGATAGTTAGGAGAGATCAATTGATTTATTTTAAAGGGATGATGCTCCTTTAAAATGTTACAGAATGTCTTGGACTGACGGATGATTTAAAAAATTATTAGATTATTTGATAGCTAAATTCATTTTAAAACTTTATTCTTTTCATTTTTTAAAATTCTTCGCCATTTTGATGAAAAACGCTAAATAATAAATTCATGTACAATAATCAATGTTCGTTGATAATCGTTCAAAAGTTGGCTGTGTTAATTTAAGTTGGGTTACAACTTAAATTTAAATAATTTAAGTTGGGTATATTTTAGGCTCCCCTGCATGCCCCTGATGTCTTATGCGGGACACCCTGTATAGTAGATTCATTCGATTTATTTTGATGCATTTGTGCTTTCCAAAACTTACAATTTTTTTTAAAGAAGAATCTAATTATGGGTGGATGTTAAATTCTCATCCACCATAATTTTAAATCGCATCCTAACACATTTGATCAAGTGCACATTAATTAAGGATTCTTAAGGAAGTCTAAAAGGAAGCAAAAGGAATCAACAACGATTCCGAAGCAGAACTCTTTGGAATTTTAATTTAACGGAGAATGATAACCTAGATAGACCTATAGTGCCTTCCGTAGTGAACAATTTCAGACACTGTTTTTTCAAAGAAGTAGTATCTAGAGCATCTATATTTGGCCATTCTGAACTTTGTTTTTTTGGGGCTATTATCCACGACTCCTAAAAACGAGCTGGACTTTCGAAACCTTTTTAACCAGTGACCCAAATAATCTCGTATATACCGTGATTTTTCATCATTTGCCATTCTACAACTTTCCTTTAATCAACTGTTTCGACTTTAACGCGTGTGTTAGGATTAAATATCGATGCAGGACCATAAAAAATCGGTATCGAAAGTTGCAGCATTGACCCACTTTAGGAAATCGACACCCTAATCGCGATCGCGATTTGCACGGCTACAAATCCCTCTAAATTAGTCAAAAAGAGGGGTAATTAATGGACGATAAAAAGTGTTTGTTTCACCTTTGGGGTTGAAGCTCTCTATTGATTGTGACGTATCCGACTGAAGACGCATGTTCAAAATGGCGTCCGAAACGTCCGGCCTTCGGATCTTTCATCGCTCAGTTGCAGTCGAAAATTCAGGTCTGTCGCGTTCGGGAAAACCACGCGCGCCGTGGAAATTCTCGCGGAAATTCGTGCCACAGCAATTTGTTGGTAACGTTCTAATAAAAGTTTAAGTGTCCCGTCGTAAAGCCCGGTTATCGATACCGTAATATAAATTTTACCGTTCGGGCGGCGAAAGTTTCCCCAGTACGATCCTTTCTAATTTTTCGCGGCCGAGAAAAGCGGGTTAGAGGGTTCCGTGTATGACACAATTCGCGTTTATGTGAATTTTTATGTGAGGTATATTTTTTCTGGAGTAATTAGTTAGGCCACAAGTGGTGGTATGTAAATTTGTGCGCTTGTTGAACGTGGCCTGCGATCGCGATGGTTCGTTTTTACAGCGAAAAGTTGAGGTTGAGATAACATGAGTATTTTCAGGCAAGATGTAAGTGCATTCATTTTTATCTTTATCATCTACTAATTCCATCTAAAGCTTATTTGCTCAAACATTGCCTGCTCGAAAGGGCGAAGATAACTTTTTTAACTAATAAGAAGGAAGTTATCTTGCAGTTACGCCCATATATTTTATTCCAAAGTCTGTGAAATTTGCAGCGCTAGGCTTTTTATAACAAATTTTTTATTGAATGTATCTGGAAATATCTAAAAAATAAGCTATAAACAAATAATATATTTATTCTTCAATTTTTTCAGTTTATTTTGAGTAAATTTGGCGAATGCTCTAAATGTGCTTCCAATGCATACACCAAAATTTTAAATTATATTCTCCACTTTATTAGTAGAAGCGTTCGGAACGTTTTTCGAAAATATTACCGGCCCTAAATATTTTAAAAGTTAGTACGTCAGGCAAAGTACAAGTCACGAAACGTTACCACGTTGACACACTTCTTGCATTATTTAAAATGATATATGTACTGGAAATTTGAAATAAAAAAGAATTGTAGGAAAGAATCCGATCTGTAGAAGCGAGCATATGTTACAGGAAATCAAACATACAGGATGATTCATTCTGTATAAAAAATAATGTGATATTTCACACTTCTTTTGTAACTCCCATCTGCAGTTAATAGCTTGTACATTTAACACAAAAATAGCCCAGTATGATTTACCTATTATTAAACAATAAACAGCATCGAATAATAGAATGGAAAATACACGTTCCCTTTGTCCAAACCCGGTGCAGATAATCCGATTAAGGATTGAACCAAAAACGCTGTTATTTAGGAGCTTAATAGCGAATACGTATCAAGTGTAATTCAAGATACATCACACGAAAGGAGGTTAAGGAGAGAACTTTCCATTAATCTTCTGTAACTTTTTTTTGTCGAGTAATCCTTTTCGTTGTCAACTGATGGGTTTATTTATACCAAAAGTTCCGTATAAAAAACCCATTTAAAAGTAAATATAAAAGTGTAATTTATTATCAATTTGTTCCTTAACCCTAGAAATGCGTTCCTTCTCTATTATAATAACATACAACATCAAAGAAGGCATTTTACTCATGTTGTTGTATCACTCTGTATAAACTATCTATTCCATCGATTTCCCTCAACGCTCGCATACCCGAATCTCCCAAGAATTTCACAATCTCGAACGAAACAAGGAACAAGGCTCCTCTAATATTTCAAAATGTGTAGTCGTAAAAGTCGAAGTCGGGCAACCGGGGACCCGACAAAAATATTCCAAAAGGGTTTTAGTCCGCAAATCCCCTCTTGGAACTTCTCTAATCATACCTCTACTTAGCTTCGGAAGCGGCCGGGCCGCACAAGTTGGTTCACTTCCAACTTCAAACGGTTCCAAAAGTTGTTAGAATGGTATATATTTTCCGTAAGATGGGCTTAATTTTTTTAGTAAGAACGACGGTAAATTATCTTTGGAACTTGAAGGTTTTAGAGGCAGGTGAAACGAACCGGAAAATAAGTTTCTACATTGTGGGAATCAATGTTTGTTTCTTATCTAGAAGGAAAAATATCTGCAAAAATAGGTATTAGTTATATGTAGATAGGTATAAGAGGTACCAAATGCAAAGTAATATCTAAAACTTCTTCAAATTACATTAATTATTTTTGTAGATAACTAAAAATTCTGAATATCATGCCTTTGCCATTAGACTGCTTCAACTTAATGGATTTTTTTATATCCTAAAGTCAGTTTTCATTATTTCTTTTTTGTAATATTCGTTTAAGCGGGTCTTTAGAATTAAAACTAATGATCTTGTGGGAGATACGTTTTTCTCTATTGTTACTCGTACAATAACGTAATACGATTTCTTTATTGCTAAAACGGTCTAAGCCATTATAATAGCCATAGCTGTGTATAGACTTAATCGCTGGCAAAACGTTAGGTGAGCAACAAGTTTATTGGCATTGTTATACCTACTTGTTTACTCTCTTTGTCCACACGGAAAAGTTGTGTTCATTCACATAAAATCTATAATTTTAAGCGATACCTACTTTAATTTAAAAATAACTTCATTGTACCTAAAACATCAAATTATAATACGCCGGTGTGTAGTCTCATATAATGGTAGATGCAGGCAAAACAAAAATGTTTTTCAACACAAAACTTCCAACAAGTTTCGCTTGAGAATATAATAATGTACCTACCTACACCTGCTTATATGTAATCTGTTACTTATAGAAACTTTAATTATCTACTTACTAGTTAATTTCCAACCTACTAATACAAAACCTCTAATAATAATTATATTATTCATGAGGCAAGGATAATTACACAGTAAATATACAGTACAGCCCTT